AATACACTAATGTCAACAAACACATAGAAGGCAATACAGACACAATCATTCGGTCAAACACATTACACTAATGTCAACAAACACATAGAAGGCAATACAGACACAATCATTCGGTCAAACACATTACACTAATGTCAACAAACACATAGAAGGCAATACAGACACAATCATTCGGTCAAACACATTACACTAATGTCAACAAACACATAGAAGGCAATACAGACACAATCATTCGGTCAAACACATTACACTAATGTCAACAAACACATAAGAAGGCAACACCGACACAATTTAGACACATTAACCCCCAACTCTCTCAACTCAGTCCCAGCACCAACCAGCAACAATATAGACAGACCCATCACAATTGGAGAACTTAAAACAAACATCAAGCGACTTCAAAACTCCTCTCCAGGCGAAGACGGTATCCGTAACATTATCCTAAAAAACGTTCCCCACACCTTACTCACACACCTCTGCACCGCATATAACCTTTCTCTTAACTCTGGATATTACCCCAAAGCCTGGAAATTCGTCTTAATAACTGCCATCCTCCAAAAAAAGCGCTAACTTAGAGTGACCCCGCAAACTACAGACCCATTAGTTTATTTAAATGACTCGGCAACTCACTGGAAAAAATAATCACAGCACGACTACTCCACCAGTCACAGCGCGACTACTTCACCGCTTGGAAACAAATTATTAACGGACTAACAGAACGCTTCCAGTAAAAGCAAACTGACAACAAACCACTTAATTAGACTGACCGAATCTGTTTATCAAGTGTTTAATAATGATGACGCGACAGTAGCTACATTTCTCGACGTCAGTAAAGCTTGCTATAGCGTCTGGCATATGACGGACTTCGATATAAACTAACTCACTACAACATCCCTGATCCCATTGTACGCTGGATTTCCAGCTTCCTCACTAACAGATCCGTCCGTACCAAAATAGACAACGATCCGCGCCTTTCACACTACTTGCAGGAGTCCCACAAGAGTCGGTCTTAAGCCCGCTGCTATACATAATATTCGTAAATGACATAAAACTTCCTTCACACACACGTTTTCCAGCACGCGAACGACATCGCCCTATGGAGAACTTCTCGCGAAACCCCCGTTTAGCTGCACACAAAATACAATCTCTCCTTAACCACATGATGTAACACCTGGCGTGTCCTATTAAACCCCCGTTTAGCTGCACACAAAATACAATCTCTCCTTAACCACATGATGTAACACCTGGCGTGGCCTATTAAACCCCCGTTTAGCTGCACACAAAATACGATCTCTCCTTAACCACATGATGTAACACCTGGCGTGGCCTATTAAACCCCCGTTTAGCTGCACACAAAATACAATCTCTCCTTTACCACATGATGTAACACCTGGCGTGTCCTATTAAACCCCCGTTTAGCTGCACACAAAATACAATCTCTCCTTTACCACATGATGTAACACTTCTCGTGTCCTATTAAACTCCCGTTTAAGCTGCACACAAAATACAATCTCTCCTTAACCACATGATGTAATACCTGGCGTGTCCTATTAAATTCCCCTTTAGCTGCACACAAAATACAATCTCTCCTTAACCACATGATGTAACACCTGGCGTGTCCTATTAAACGCACTCAAGACACAAGCTATTATATTCAGAAAGACTCTAAAAAACAAAACAAGTTTAAAATATACGACACCACACTCAAGCAATACGACACCCAGATCAAGTTTACAAACACCATTACATTTCTAGGTATTACTTTCAATAATAAACTAACATGGAACACGCACCTACATAACACGCACAAGAGGGCAACAAAAATAATAAATTACCTGAAAAAGTAGGAGGGTGCGCGAAAGGATGCGATGCCCAGTCTCTCGCTTTGATCTACAATGTGTACCTAAAACCAGTCATCAAATACCGTAACCCCATCGCTTTTAATATGGCACATCATTTATACACAAAGTGATAAACAATAGAATCCAAAGCAATCAGAACCGGCCACCGTCATGTTACCTAAACAAAGTCAGTAAAAACATAGCTTCAACTTACTATGACAAAGTAGAACAACGCAATAATCTCTTGGCACAATTCTCTAAACTTTCAGAAACACCGGATTCCTGGCGTAAATACACCTTTCTCTAAGAAACTCACACAAACAAACAAGCTACCTTGACGTTATACCACCCAAATCATACCTGGTCACCGACCCGACTCGTCCAACAGACTTTCCTTCCTCATCTCTCCACGTCCAACTGTCCACCGTCTTCTTACAATATCTTCATCCGTAAACATGTTCCACCATCTACACCAATGCCCTCTCACGGAAGCTTGTTCCAGTTTCAAGAATCTATCTCGAACTCCAATCTTTCATTATCTGTGCCAAACTGAGATTTTTATTCTTAAACTAGCATTTTTATTTCTAAACCCTACTCTTAAATGCTATTTCCGTTACTTATGCTCAGTCATTCATTTTGTATAAATCATCACTACAATGTCACACTGTTTAATGTATGTTGTTTTTTATATTATGTATTTCAATGTTTTGTGAAGGTTACCCATACCTCTCCCTGTATGTACAAAAATACTTTGTTTTTGACTTGTATCATTTGTTCGAACAATATGCATATTATTGTGTCTTTTTGTTCAATAAAAAACACCCTCGATCCCTCCGCGGGGCGGCGTACCCGGACACGGCTGAGAGCGCGCGTGTTGTTTCTGCCTTACTCGGTGGGTCAGACGAGAATCTCGGAAGCAGTCTTGTCATGTTGCATCTCCACATAACCTCCTCTACTCTTCTTTTTTTTTCTTCTCTCTCTCTCTCTCAATAACAGCCAGCCAAAATCAACAAATAAAGATCTGAGAAACACCACATCAAATAAACCAATCGCAGAGTGAAGAGGAAAAAACAAATTCCTGACCACCCTAAATACTTCCCATGATGGATGGATGGTGTCCTTTAACTTTGCCAGTCCGTTCATCCTTTGATTAACTTGAGCAATTTGGATATCCACTATCGGCTTGACCCCCTGAACCCCGTCAGTCAGCAGCGTTTCCGGGTGACCTGTTCCGCCTTCATGGTTACCCTAGCGATCACATGGGATAAACCCACACCATACTTCACCCGAGCCCAGCGATCCCCTACTTTGCTCTCTTGCTATCTCCCACGAACAAGGACGAGAGATTGGACTTTGGGATATAGTTCTTTTATCAGTGGATTAAAAAATAAAATGTAAGTGAACTATAAATGTGGTGTTGATAAAATTCCCTATAGTTGTGGCTTAGTTTATATTGGACAGACACTTAGATATTTAAAAGAACAGAAAACTGTAATAGTAGGGGTTAGTTTCCCCTCGGTAGACATAGAAGACAGTCCGTACACTCTAATAGTGAAACAAAAGCTGAATGTATCTGTATTAGCTGAACATGTGGCAAACTCGACTTCTTTTATTGATTGGGAAATGTTAAACTTGTTAATAAGATTTATTACAAGGATGAATTAAATACTAGAGAATCATTAGAAATTGTAAAAGTATTGTTCTGAATAAGGACTCTGTTCTAGGTATTATGGAAATCGAACGTATAATGTTGGTGGCACCACAGGTGAAGGTTCTGTGTGGTAATGTATGTTGAGTCGTACCTAAGTGCGTATGGTATATAAACTTTTTCAGTGTTAACATTCCTGATAATGGCAGAATGAGTATCGCCATCGAAACAAGTAGAGCTATCAATCGAGGTTTGTGTTATTTTTGTAATAAATTACTGTGCACTTTTAACGTTGCAATATTTTTAGTTCATTTAACAATACTGATGTTCGTAGAGAAAATAAATATCAGAGGTCGCTAGTTGGAGTACTTATTTCAAATATTATTGAAACCAATTTGTAAAACATGTCGAAACTATATTGGTAACAGCTATACTAGTAAATGATAATCCAAGTTAGGGGTGTTTAATATCATTCAGTACAGAATACTATTTCTTTAGCCTTATCACAGTACCAAAATGAAACAATATACAATTTTTATATCATGTAAGATATTTCAAAAAAGATTCGTCTTCTAGATACGCGGTTTGTAACTCGTTGGTTATTTAGTTTCATTACTTGGTACAAGTTTTATATATCCTTAAATTTAGAAAAACAATGAGACATTTGCTGTCGCTCTTAAGTTTTATTTCTAAGATCCATTCGTTATATGTAAGATGCAAATTAAGAAATAAATCTAAGGTTAGTTAGTATATAGTTAACAATTGAGTTAGATCTAATTACCTAAATAACACCACCGGTTCTGTCCCCAGTGAATGATCGTCTATGTATTTCTTTAAAAGGGGACATAATAATCATCGACTATTTTAATATATATATGGTTACAAGTCTGAGAAAAGTTCTCAAAAATACTGATACTAGTTCAATTTTTCTAGACACTCCTATATTTTCGTCTCGCAGGTTTGTTCATTCTGAATAATCTTTATTCTAAACACTCGTGACAAAACATGATGAAGTTTGCTCTCTGTTCACAGCAGACCTGAAAGAAAAATGAAATATTACTGTCTAAGATGTAGCAATACTTAAATACCTCAAAAATTACAAAGTGTTTAAAATATCTAAAGTCTAACTTAAAGTTGTTGTTTTTTTCCAGTGACTACGTTCGTTGTCGTTCGGATTAATCGTGGCTGGTTAATCATGTATAGTCGAATCAAATACACTGCCTTCGTTTTCGACCATTATCATCTGCGTGTGTGTGAAGGTTAAAAGAATAATGTAATATATTTGACTTATGGCAGAATGAGTTTCTTGATGGTCGTAGGCAAACAACCATTGGATCTTTTACTTAGTACAAATAATTTAAGTAATATAAAAATTACCATTTTTTGTTCCATCAGGGGGAAAACAAACACCTATTTTCTAATGAAATTTTCACGTATCTACATCTGAATTAACTTTTAAAACAAAGTAGCAATAAACTAGTTTATTATTTTATTCTACTTAGACTTCAATCAGGTGATTTTATCAAATTCATTTAATAGAATAAAGATTTACATATTTAATACATTTATTTTTTGAAAAATATCATAATGTTATTAAGATATGTTTTAACGATAAAAAGAGCTTCAAAGAAGGGCAATTTCAATCATCGTACAAAACACTTTTAATTTAGCAAATCAAGAAGACCCTGGTATTATTTACCACGAATGAAAGAAACTTGTCAAACATGTTTTACGCTAGCGAGTTACAAACAGTACAAATACATCTTTAAAGTTGTCTGAACATGTGATCAGGTATGTTGATTATTATGCTTTTGCTGAACTCCTTTACAAATTATACCTACGGAGTTAATTTTGTGCAGAAACAACAGTTCCACTTGCGCTTTGCCTTCGCCAGTGATTCACCATCCTCTAGTCTCTCTGGTAATTCTCGATTGACTGTTTCAGGTAAAAATGTCATTAAAATCGCAGCCAAACCAGACAGACAACCGAAAACTGTTAGAGGGAGGTAACGTGCGAAAATCCCCTGAAAAATAAAATATATGCTGTTAAAACTTTGTTTGAAAAGTTAACAATTTGTTATTCTTAAAAAACAACAACAAAATATTACGGTTTTCCATTATTATTTAAAAGCAATATTTCTCTTCTCACATCAAAGTTTTATAGTAATCTATTACAGTGACAACAGTGTTCTAGAGCAGTAGCTCCCAACCGCTGGTCTGGAGAAACGCCAGAAAAAGAAATGATTAATAATGATAATGAACAATATGTATAATTCTTTCTAAATAAATAGTTATTAAAGTTCCAAGTCTTCTATTATGTATTTCTACAATCTTGTATACAATGTGTGTATTTCAACACGAGCGACAAACTATGATTTTGAAAAGAACGTTGCCGATCCGTGGAGTAAAATAGATTGGAGAACCACTTCTAGAGATCTACACATCTAAAAACGTACCAGCAACACGATTTGAGGACTTATAAGGTTGCCAACGGAACCCAGAGCTTGACGAACAGCAAGAGCCTGTGTTCGGACCACGGTGGGGAAAACTTCGGCTGCATACAGGTAGTTGATATTGTATCCAACAGTCACCGCAAGTCTTCCGGCCATTAAAGTCGTCAAACGAGTTGCAAAGTAGCCTGAAAGTGTTCTACAGTTTATATATCGTTCAATATATTTGCAGAGGTCAATAAAGTATACAAATATATAGCCCGCGATTATAAAAGCCTTCAATTCTTC